CTCAAACCTGTCCACAGGTCAGCCCCTGGGGAGCCCCAGTGGAGCCTCAAACCTGTCCACAGGTCAGCCCCTGGGGAGCCCCAGTGGAGCCTCAACCTGTCCACAGGTCAGCCCCTGGGGAGCCCCAGTGGAGCCTCAACCTGTCCACAGGTCAGCCCCTGGGCCCCCCCACAATGGAGCCTCAACCTGCCCACGGGTCAGCCCCTAGGGGGGCCCCAGTGGAGCCCCCTGGTTGTACATTTTAGAGAGATGGGTGCTTGTTTGCTGCCCCCTTATTATTCCACTGTCGTTCGCAGGCATTAAACTTTCTTACACAGCACTGTCATGCATCGGGGATGGGACTTGTTTTAAAAAGGATACCAGCCTTAAATGCTGGACAGTTCAGGGAGCCTGGGTCCCACACAATCCAACCCCTTTGTGAAGGGGTCAGGCCGTTCCCAGCAGGAGACACCCTCCACCAGTCCCCCATCCGAGTAGGCAGGTCCAGCACACTGCTGTCCACAGCGCAGATCTGACACCCCTCAGTCCAGCAGGGCAGAGAACCGAGCCTTCGCTCCAGGAGGCCCGCTGGACCCCCTATCCAGAACCCTGCTCGAGCAGGAAAGCCCAGTGCCCCGCTTGCTTCTGTTGGATCTTAAATTTTTTGGTGCTTTTTAGATAGAAGTGTAATAGCGCCCCTTGCTGGACAGAAGTATCCATTGCAAACATTCAAATATATAACTGCTGCCCTTCAGGTGCCCTCTAGCAGATCTCTAAATTAATTAGAAATTCACCAGTTAGAAAACATGCAACTGTCTTTCAGCTCTGACAGGAGATTAAAGTTTCCACTAAAGAATTAATGTTAGTGTAACTTTCCCAAGACTGGGAACAGAGCTGTGAAAGAGTGGACTCCCCTGCCACCTAGTGGAGTGTGAGGAGCACAGCAGAGGTGTGCCTCAGACCCCAGCAGGCCCTACTTCAGGAATCTGCACAATCGCACAGCTGATCCAGATCAACTGTTCCGCGTAGTTTCATGATCGACTCCAAGCCCGGTCTCATCGTCTCCCCCAAATCCCACATCCCCAGCCTCACCTCACTGTGGCCAGGGAAAGAGTCTGGGCGGGCTCCGGAGCGAGCCTGCCTGAGTCGAGCCCTCCCCATGGGCGCGGGGTGCTCCTGCAAGAGAAGCAGTCCAGCGGGAGTAGGGCAGGACCTGGAGGGGCCCCAGCCCCGTGTCCATCTCTCCTCCCTCTGGACCCGAGAGAGAGGGAAGAGTGCACATGTAGCATTAGGAAACATGCTTTAATCTATATAGTGTCCTGTCAAGAAAGGCACTATATAGATTAAAGAGCCAAGTGAGGGACAAGCAGGTTCAGACTGAAAGAGGGTGGGACAGGCTCACCTGCGAAGGGGAGATGGCTTCCACTTCTCTGGCCAGACCCTCTGCTGGGCTCCGAACACGTCCCCGTCCTACAGCAGCTGCACACCCCTGCTCGCCCCTCCAACGGGGCCCAGCTACACAGCAACACAACAGTCGCACAGCCCCGTGAGCCACAGCAACACAACAGCAACACAGCTGCCACACAGCCACACTGTGAGCTACAGTCACCACCAGACAAGCAGCAGCAACACTGCAGGCACACAGCCCTGTGAGCCACAGCAACACTGCAGCCACACAGAAGCTACACAGCCCTGTGAGCCAGTTGCCATGAAACAAGCAGCAGCACCACAGCCCTGTGAACCACAGCAGCAGAGCCATCAAACACCAGCAACACCACAGCACCGAGGCTCACCTGCGCGTCCTGTGGCTGAAGGAGCAGGCTTTGTTCACGGGGTCCGGAGATCTGTCCGCAGGCATGGCCTTCAGGTGACACGTCAGGTACAGCTGCACAGACACGGGACACAGGGGACATGCAAGGCAACGCACTCGTCACTGGGCTGGCAGGAGCAGGGAGGACACGGGTTCAAAACGCTCCTGCAGAACCTGCCCATCCCTGAGCGATAAAGAGCTCTGCTCCCGGGCAGAGGGCTGCAGTGATCCAGTTAAGGTTTAAACAGCTCCCTCTTTAGCCACCCACGACAGCCTCCAGCTCCTGATTGATCGAGGAAGCCCCAGCACTGAGCCCCTCTGCCTCTCAGTCCAGCATGTGCTGTGCTACAGTCCTGCCTCTCGTGTAGCGGTCATCCCTCCCCACTGCGGGCTGTACTGAGCCC